GCAAGGCTTTGGCTCGCTTACTTTGGACACGTCATCAGGAAAGACAAATCGCTAGGGAAAAAACGTCATGATTGGTAAAGTAGAGGATTAGCAAAAAATGAGTGAACCTCTCAGTGAGATGGACTGACATAGCTGCAACAATGAGCTCAAACAGACCAATGATCATGAAGATGGCATAGGACCGGGCAACACTTCATTCTGTTATCCATAAGGTCACCATGATTCGGAGGTGACTCGATGGAGCCTACCAACAGCAACCATCTGTGAAAATAGGATCTGCCGAAGTCTGCTTGGCCAGGTGTTTCGGGGGTCCCCAAGACCACCCTCAGTTTCGATGGTTTGCTAAGAGGCCTCACAAGACCCAGAAACTTGTGATTACAATCTATTACAGCAAAAAGATATAAATCAAGATCTGCAAATGGAAAAGGCATAGGGAGCAAAGTCCAGGAGAAACCAGACACAAATTTGCAGGTGTCCCCTCCCAATCAAGTTGCGTGGGGAAGCATTTAATTCTTCCAGGAAACCATGTGTGACAACATGGGTGACAACATGTGTGACAACCAGGGAAGCTCACTCAAACTTTGGTGTCCAGAGATATTACTGGGGTTTAATCATGTAGGCGCACAGTGCCCATGTTACTGACCTTAGCTATTCGGTCTCCAGCCCTCAAAAGGTCAAACCAAACAGCATGGCCCAGAGCTCAAGGCATGCAAAACAGGATATTCTGAAGATAGGCCTTTCTTCAGAAAGTGCAGGATTTGAGCAACTCAGGCCTGCCGAGTTAACCCTTTACTGCTGAAATGTCACATGGATATTACGAGATTTAAAGTTGTCAGATTCCTTCAAATATGAGAAGTTAATGTAAATGCTAAATAATCATACCTGATTTCAAAATGAAAAAAAAAAATAGAAATTATGCAGGCCTCTCATGACGCAGAGGTTAAGAGCTCAGCTGCTAACCAAAAAAAGGTTGGCAGTTCAAAGTCGCCAGCCGATCCTTGGAAACCCTATGGGGCAGTTCTACTCTGCCTTATAGGGTTGCTATGAGTTGGAATCAACTCAACGGCAACCGATTTGGTTTCTGAAACATTAATCAAATTTTAAAGCTAAATAAATAAACAGGTAGCTGGGTAGGTAGATTTTAAATGAGTCGCACAGCAACAAGCTGGAACCTGTCGAGGTCTGCTTAAAGTGGGGCCCAACTGTTCCCATGACGCTGGAGGGCATCGTATCATTAGGATAGTGAATATATACACCATTTCTAGGAGCCAGATAGAGCACGTCTCTCCCACATTTCCCTGGGCTCCTTAGAAGCTACCACTCCCAATACAGGAAGGGGCCAACCACAAACAGTCATTCTCCATTTTAAGCCGGAAAAAATAAAATAAAATAAAATACTTTCAAGATTTTATAGATTAACTCCTGCCTGCGTTATATATGCCCTAATACCCTCCTAATTTAATACCTTTCAAGACCATAACAACCTACATCTGCAACAAGTTTAATAAGTGAGGCAGAGAGGGAAGGGGGCTTTTGATGTTCATCATTTCAAGAGCACCATCCAGTCCTTGGAGCCCTGGTGGCACAGTGATTAAGCACTGCAGCTGCTAACCAAAAGGTCGGCAGTTTGAATCTACCAGCCTCTCCTTCGAAACCCTGTGGGGCAGTTCCACTCTGTCCTATAGGGTCACTATGAGTTGGAACCGACTCTACAGCAATGGATATTCAGTCCTTACCATCTCCTTGATATTTCATGATCAATACCACTATCAATTTAGGTAGTAAATCCCCGCTCCAGCCCTCCAGTCATTCCACCCTTTCAAATTCCCCATAATTAGCAGCTGCAGCATTATGTTGAGGGCTTACTACATACCAGACGCTGTGAGCTTTATGTGAAATTCATGGGCTTAATCCTTGTATAGGGGCCCAAGGGGGCTCAATAAACAGCATCCCTCTTCCATTCCCACAATTTAAACTAACCCATTGCCGTTGAGTCGATTCCGACTCATAGCGACCCTATGGGACAGAGTAGAACTGCCCTACAGGGTTTCCGAGGAGCAGCTGGTAGATTCAAACTGCCGCCCTTTTGGTTAGCAGCTGAGCTCTTAACCGCTGCGCCACCAGGGCTCCTCTGTCTAAACTAGAGGCCAGCAAAGTCTTTTTATAAAGGGAAGAGAGTAAATATTTTAGGTGTTGTGGGCCATCCAGTCTCTGTCACAACTACTCCACTCTGCCATTGTAATGCGAAAGTAGCCGTAGACTGTATGTAAACAAATGGACGGGCTGTGTGCCGATAAAATTTTATTTAAGCGCATTGAAACTTGAATTCCATGTGATTTTCATGGGTCCTAAAACATGAGTCTTCATTTTATTTTTTGAACCATTTAAAAATGTAAAATCCATTCTTATCTCCCATGCTAAACAAAAACAGGTGTCAGGCCACCTCTAAACCCGATCTAAACCAACTGAGAAATAAAAGAGTAAGGCAGATGGAAGAGCAAAATATCACCTTTAATGCTGATAAAGCCAACATGGAAAATGTGGCTTATGTATGTGGGCAAGTGAACCTCCTGAAAAGAAATTCCATGATTAGACAGACTTACACACCCAGTCCCAGGCAGCATTGGGTCTAGGCCTCCCCGAGTTGCAGCAGGCCTCTTTCTGATTTATGTCATAGAGGAATAAAGTGGAATGTATACTTCCTGCAGGCAGTTGGGGACTGAACTACACGTGTCCAGTGTCTTCCAAATTCACCAACTAATTTAAGCCTGAGGAGTGGAGAGAGTGAAGGGTCTTACGCTAGTGGAGCCCTCTCTACGGGTAAAAAAAAAAAAAATCAGCGGGCGGATCCCTCCCCACCAACACCTCACAACAACCCTCAAGCAGGAACTGTTTTTATCTACTTTTTACAGGTGAGGAAACTGAGGCACAGAGGTTGAGTCACAGCTGGGATTCAGATGTAGGTAGGCTGACTCAGAGCCCACATGGTCTTACCTCCTGCCACACTATGCTTTTCATGTCCTTTTCCCACTTAACAGAACCACCATATCGGAATGCTAAGGTATACAGATTGTACAAAATAGGGGGTTCTCACTGGCGGAGTTTTCAGTTAGTTCACCAGGCCTTTCTTCCTAGTCTTAGTCTGGAAGCGCCACTGAAACCTGTTCAGCATCATGTTGCTGCTGTTGTTAGGTGCCATCGAGTCGGTTCCAACTCATAGCGACCCGTGTACAACAACACAAGGAAGTCCTGCCCCGTCCTCCACCGTCCTCACAGGCATTGCTGTGCTTGAGCCCATTGTTGCAGCCACTGTCAATCCATCTCCTTGAGGGTCTTCCTCGTTTTCGCTGACCCTCTACTTTATCAAGCATGATGTCCTTCTCCAGGGACTGGTCCCTCCTGATAACATGTCCTAAGTACATGAGCCGAAATCTCACCATCCTTGCTTCTAAGGAGCATTCTGGCTGTACTTCTTCCAAGAGTTCAGCATCGTAACAGCACACAGTTCTCCACGGACAGATGAGTGGTGGCTTCGCTTGAGGTGTGTTGGTGAAGAATTGAACCAGGTGTCCTGCAGGGAAGGGGAGAATGTTACCCCGGTACCCCCACTGTAACTGGCCCAAACAAAAGGGAAATTCAAGACGTCTCCTGCTTCCTTCTCTCCTTTGATGTTAACAAGCAATCCATCCTGCAGTTTTCTCATCCAGCCTTAGATAATAAAATGCAGCGCCATAAACTCCTTCACGCCAGTAAGCTAAAAGAGGGGTGGTACATTCAGTCTACATCAAAGGAATGGAATCCCTGGGTGGCGCAAATGGCTAAGTGCTCCGCTACTAGCTAGCTGAAAGGTTGGCGGTTTGAACTAACCCAGAGGCGCCTCGGAAGACAGGCCTGGTGATCTGCTTCTGAAAGGTCTCAGCCTTGAAAACCCTATGAAGCAGTTCCACTCCGTACGTATGAGGTCGCCATGAGTTGGAATCGACTCAACAACATTGCAAAGGGCTTTCCCTCTTGAAACTGCTCGCGTTAACTTGCTGTAATTTTGTGAATGTCTAAAGGTTGGAGTAGCTTGTTTACATGTAAGAGAACACTGTTCAGTATTTCTTCATGGTGTTCACAGTACGTCTACATACATCACGTCATTCTGACCCTGAGAGGAAGGCAGGCAAGGAATTCTTCTTCTCATTTTACAGAAGCAGAAACGGAGGCCCAGTCCTTCTGGCCCAGGTCTCATGGTGAACAGCAGCGCTGAGACTAGGCTGCGTGCTCTTTCTATTACTCGGCTACTCCACACAGATCCCACAAATGCAAAGTAAAATTATCCAACGTCAGAGCTCCAGCTTTCTAGCCTCTTTATGTACTCAAGAGACAGGAATGGTAGAAAAAAGGGTTCAAGTTAAGCTGCAGCTGAGAATTCTGTGAGTAAATAGATTTCAAAATATGTTCTTCCCAATGTGAAGTGTTCATCATTTAATTCTTAAATAGAAGAAAGTAAGATTAAAAACTGTGAATACGCTATAATTCCAAGTTTATTTTAAAAACACACTTGTTTTTATTTTCAAATATATATATTTTTTTATAAGTCTCCAAATTTTCTACATGGTAATTGTTTTTTATAGTCTTTTTTTTAAAAGTTCATTATTTAAAGTTTTAAAAATACAACCATAAACGTCATCAATTTGAAGAACAATAGAAAGATAAACATTCTGTTCAATACATGGACGTAAGAAATGAAAGCAGATCCCCCACGGGTCAGAAATGAAGAGGAAACCACAAACGAGAACCAGGACTTCTCTAGTGCAGCTTACCAGGCTGGAAAATTCGAGGTTTATGTTTTAATACAATGAGAAACAGACACAATATCTTGGGTTGAGTCAGGTGAGAGTTGGAAGTGAGATTGCCATGTAAGGTCAGGATATTTAATTTTTTAGAAGATCCTTAGTATTTCAGGCTGATGTGAGATTATGTTGTGATGTATGAAATGTGTTCTTTGCATACAGAAAAAACATCGTTGACCCGGAAGATCCCCGGTGTGCCCGATTAATGCTCACCGGCCAGATGATTGCTGTGTCTCCAGAAGAAGTAGAATTTGCGAAGCAAGCCATGTTTTCAAGGTTTGTATATGCTTTCAGGAGCCCTGGTGACGCAGTAGTTTAGAGCTCGGCTGCTAACCAAAAGGTCGGCGTTTCGAATCCACGAACAGCTCCTTGGAAATCCTATAGGGTAGTTCTACTCTGTCCTGTAGGGTCGCTGTGAGTTGGAATCGACTCAACAGCAACGGGTTTGGTTTTGGTTTTTTGATGGAATGACGGCAATTGCTCTGAGCTACACTTCCTTCAGTGGCCAAGTACTACCAACCATATGCTGGCTCTAGTGGTTTCTAGCAAAGGCCAGGTATATGGCCTTGCAATGGGCTGACACTGCCTCTGGACAGCACCCCAGATGGAGGTGTCCCAGACACGGTTCCCACGTGCTGCCAACCCTTGTCATGAAATGAAAATAACTGAGCCTTCATAGTCAAGTCAACCCAACACACGTTTCAAATTCCTCCTGCAAGCAAAGAACGGGACCGGAAGTTACGTGGTTGTTGTTAGCTGCCGTCCGGTCAGCCCTTGACTCGTGGTGACCTCATGTGTGACTGAACAGAACTGCTCCATGGGGTTTTCTTGGCTGTAATCTTTACGGAAGCAGATCACCGGGTCTTTTCTTCCAAAGAGCTGCTGGGTGGGTTTGAATCGCCAACATTTAGGTCAGCAGTCGATCGCAGACCACTGGTACCACCCAGGCTCGCCAGAAGTTACAGAGCAGTGCTTCTCAGTGCCCGCCGGCCCCTGTATCAGAATCACTATAAATGTGGCTTTCTGTCCCCACCTCCCACCCCTTGACCTACTTACTGAATCACACTCTCTGGAGATAAGGTTCAATCTGAATTTTTTTTTTTTTTTTTTTTTTGCTCTGAAAAGTTGACCATGTTTAATTGCTAACACAATTCTATTAAATTCCAAGAGATACCATTTCTAACATACCATTCAAAGACAATACCTTTTTTATGTGTGTAAGTAAGACATGGGAATATTTTGCTTAAGGGTTTCCAGTTCTCTTCAATTAGCTTTTGAAGTCAATGGCTTAAGAGAATATAGGACAAAAAGCCTCCTGGCCTTTTTTTTTTCCTAATCTCCACTTAGAATCCCCTTTGTGACAACATGCATTTCTGGGCGGTTCTACCTACCGAAGACTGCTTTTCCAAGTGGCGGAAAGTCGAATTCTCACTTTCCACCACTCCAGCCTCTGCCGGCTCCCTTGAATCTTTGTTTCCATTCTCTGACTTCTTTTTCTTCTCTGCCTTTTGTTCTGCGTTAAACTGAGCAATCTCTTCACCCTTCCCCATGCTATATTTTAGCAGGGAGTTGCTCCTCCTGGCTAAGAGCTTCACATCATCCGTGTTAATTGTGCTTCTTTTTGCATGTCTGGCAAACATTTCAAGGTCTTTTGCAAAATTTTCACACTGTCGAGAAGTCACCTCTGAAATCGCTGCAATGGTTTGTTTGCTGAACTGCATCTCTTCCTCTGATGCAACTTCCTCGCAAAGACAACCAGCAGTGTAGTGAACTGCTGCCTTTAGCCTCGGTTGGTAAGAGACTCCCTGCTGCTCCTCAGCCTCCTCGTCCTCCATCCCAGCGGGGCGGCCCAGGCAGAAAGATCAATCTGAATTTTTAAAAACGCTGCCCCCTGGGACTGCTATGCATTCTAAAGTCTGAGAACTACTGCTGCAGAGCGAGAGGGTGGCCCAGTATGGGGAATCGGAGGCTGGTCCTTAGGGTCACAGCCAGGGAAGGGGATAAGGTAACTACGTTGGGGGGGGCAGCCCTGCGTGGATGGCAGAGCCTGTGCAAGGTGAAGTGCTATCTTAGTTACCCAGCGCTGCTATAATGGAAATCCCACCGGTGGATGTCTTTAGCGAAGAGATTTATTCTCTCACAGTCTAGGAGGCTGGAAGTCTGAAATCAGGTTGCCGGCTCTGGGGGAAGGTCTTTTTCTCCTTTCAACATCTGTGGGCCGGCATTCATTGAGATCTGCATGTGTGTTGGCATCGATCTCCCCCTTCGTCTAGGAGGCCGGGGAAGGTCTTTTTCTCCTTTCAACATCTGTGGGCCGGCATTCATTGAGATCTGCATGTGTGTTGGCATCGATCTCCCCCTTCGTCTAGGAGGTTCTCAGCCCAGGGACCCCAGGTCCAAAGGACATGCTCCTCTCTCGGCTCTTCTTTCTTGGTGGTAGGAGGTTCCGCTCTCTCTGCTCACTTTTCTCTCCTTTTATTTCTTGTAAGGTAAAAGGTGATACAGGCCACAACCCAGGGAAACTCCTTATATCTGATCAGTGCTGTGACCTGAGTAAGGGTGTTGCATCCCACCCTAAGCCTCTTTAACATGACCTAATCCTGCCTCATGAACATAACAAACAGCTCACTCCCAAATGGGACCATAACCACAGGCGTAGAGGCTAGGACTTCACACACATCACAAAATGGATGATAATCAGATCGCAAAATGGAGGACAACCTCACAATACTGGGAATCAGAGCCTAGCCAAGTTGACACACATTTTGGAGGGACACAGTTCAATCCATGACAGGCGGTGTCTACGGGGAGGGGTGTTCTGTCGGGGGGGTTGGACTCTAAGTGGGGTGATGAGGGCATCCATGAGGGAAGCCTGTAATGAAACCTCAGAGCTGGACAAGGAGTTGGGGTGGCGAGGTGTCCATGCAGGAGTGCAGTCAATGAAAACTGGCAGATTGGTCCTTTTCTAAGTTAGGAAGGAGTGGCACAGAGGCAGATGCTAAGCTGGACGAGCCACCCACAACCACGGAAATGGAACAATCAAATGAGTAAATGTAATGAGGATAATGGAAGCCAGGAGTCTCACTGCCGCAGATTAGAGTTACAAACACGTAAAGGGAGAAAACTAGGATGAGCTCCGTGGAATTGGACTGGAATTGGAAGTATCAGTGTGCATTCGTGGTTTTCAGTATAGAGACAGAGAAGTAAACATAGACGTATGTTTGTTTTCAAATTCAGCAAGTCATTAGTTCAGCTCTCTTGCGCTTTTTGATAAACAATGACAAGAAGCCAGGTGACACATTTCCAAGTGCCCTGGAAATCTTCGACCATTGACTTCATTACGTACATTTCCTATTTCCCACATTACAGCAGGCAACAGCACTGCCAAATTTCCCACCACTACATAACATGGGTCCCTTTCATTCAGCTGCCAATAATATTTTCTTTACTTTCTTTTAAGCCCTCACTGTCAGCCTCCTCGAGGCCCTTTCAGCTTCCACTAACAGCACATGATTTAGATTTTATCACGGCAGCACTCCACTTCCTGGTACCCAAATCTGTTCCAGTTATGATTACAAAACCAAGTGGCTTAAAATAACAATTGTTACCTTAGCTCTACGAGTGTTTGGGAGTGATAGGGCATCAGGTCAGCATCTTACTATCAAATGGTTCAGGAAAAAAAAGTTCTTTCTACTGTACTTTCAACCTCTTTGTAAGTTTATGATTGTTTCAACATAAATTATTTTTTTAAAAAGAACACCAACCTATTATGTTATTTCATTGTGGTAAATGTTTTTCCCAGCTTGCAGTTGGTCTTTGAATTTTGTTTATAATGTTTTTTGATGTAAGGAACATTCTTATTTTTATGAAGTTAAAAAAAAAAGTGAGCCCCAGCCCCTGCCTTCAAGGATATTACAGTGTGTGTAGGGGGTGAAGGTAACTCAGTAAGTAAGAGCAGGCAGAATATAATGTTCCTTGTCCATTCTGGTTCAACTTTGTCTCAACAGTTCTAAGCGTACTGCAGGAACGGATATCTTCCTATGAACAGACTAGTTTCACAAACTCACAGTATTGTTTTTTTAACATTTCATACAGATATCATCCATAAAGCCCTTCTTTATGTTTATTGATAACAAAAAAACAAAGTTGCCATCAAGTCGACTGATTCATGGCGAGCCCATGTGTGTCAGAGTAGAACTATGATCCATAGAGTTTTCAATGGCTGACTTTCAGAAGTAGATCACCAAGCCTTTCTTCTGAGGCATCTCTGGGTGGACTCAAACCTCCAATGTTTTGGTTTACAGCAGACCACCTTAACCTCTTGCACCACCCAGGGACTCCTCAGATAGCAGTAACCGACATTACTGGGCACTTCTCTTGGGAGGTGCCTGCATGCGCTTATTCGTTTGCTCCCCATACAGTCCTGTGATCTGGTACCAGCAGTATCATCCCATATTACAGACAAGGAGACTGAGGCTTGAGAGAGCGAGTGGGACTTCCAAGGTGTCACAGCTCGTCCGCACTGGAGCTGGAATTTGAACCAAGAAGTCTGGCTCAAGTCTTCAGCTTTTAGCCTCTAGGTGTAAGGACTATAGTTTCCTGCCTTAGCTCTCCCAGGCTCCGATACCCAGCTTCTTGGCTTCCACTCTGGCTGGTGTGAGCATAGTTTGAGCTTCTCTCAGCCCATTTGAGGACTGGAGTCTGAAGAGTTATATGACTTGGCCATGGAGATGGAGATTCTTTTTTTTTTTTTTTTTTTTGACCAATAAAAATATAAATTTATTTTAAGATAATAGATTCCAGAAAAGCTCGTTGAGAAATTAGTCATTCATATTCTTGTGACAGCCATTTAAAATCTGTCCCCTTGATTGGTAAATAACTAATAGACCTCAATTTTTTTTTAAATGATTTCCCCTCTCCCTCCCTCCCCACCCTTGTAACCGTCAAAGAATGCTTTTTTCTATGTTTAAACCTTTTCTTGAGTTCTTGTAATAGTAGTCTCTTGCAACGTAGATTCTTAACCAATGCTCACGGAAGGCACACCCCTCTGGTAAGAAACGCTTCAGTGCGATCTCCATTTGTTCCTGCAGGCACCCCGTTATGAGGAAGTGGCCCCGTCAGTATGAGTGGTTCTTTATGAAGATGAGGATAGAACACATCTGGCTTCAGAAATGGTATGGAGGAGTATCTGAGATTTCAAAGGAGGAATATTTCAAAGCAGTTCCAAGAAAGGCCTGATGGAGTAAGAGAAAAGACCTCGGTGTTTGCTTTAACATGAAAACCTTTTAAGTCATTTTGCCAGAAAGCTGTTGCCTGCTGTCTCTTTGTTGAAAGGTTCATAGCAGCCCTGTCATCCTTACTGAAGAACGAAAGAGGATAAACAGGGAACCCTGTGCTAGACTTGAAATTAAAGCGGTCATTTGCCAATCCTCCATTCACACAGTTTCTTCACCTATCTAGCCTTTGTTTACATTGTATCCAAGCGAGACTCACCGATTTGAGAACCATCTGGCTTGTCAAATTGACAGTTTGAAACAGTTGCTGTTCCATTTTTTAGAAAAAGAAATTATGCCTGTAAGTACAATGTGATTACTTTGTATCCTGAGAGTATTGTTGTTGCTTGCTGTGCCAAAAGCAGTGTCTGGGTTCTAGCCCATTGCAACCACAAAATAACTAAATATGCATCATACAGTCACGAGACTGTGTTTAGGGAGAGGGTGGAGGACTGTTTGTCTATGGATTACTCACTGTGCTGCTGGAGTGCAAATGCATTATTAAGGTACATTTGCTAGAATGTGTAGATCACGTAGGAAGCTTCTTCCCACTGTAAGTTGATGAGCAGCGGGAGAACATGCACAGATCAGGGCACAGCCTTGCTCTTGGTAAGCAGGCCACGGTAGCACATTAAGAGGATGGGGTGGCTTTGGTGTCAGGCTCTCAATGTCCCTGCAGCTCATGCTTCTGACAGGGGCTGCCCCTCTGGGGGGCACCTCATTCTGTGGTATGTAGAGGAGACTCCTGGGAGAGGGGAGAGGGTAAATCTGGGAAGGCGGAAACGTAACATGTGAGAAGGAAGGAGAGGAGTCAAGGGTATAACTGACAGCCCACCTCATGTCCAGGCCATTTGCACAAGTCATCTCATTTCAGCCTTACAACCAATGAGACACATGTCATCACTGCCACTTACAAACGAGGAAACTGAGGCTCAGAGAGATCAAGTCAGATTCCCGAGCACAGACTCCAGAACTCACTCCCCGTAGTGGACAGAGTAGTACCTAAAAGCTTTCCAGTTTTCAGAAGGAGACAAAAGAGTTACATAAATGCACAGGTAGTCAGTCATTGACCTGGGAAAATCAGTACAGCGGATGTCAAAGAGAATGATTTACCTACCTGGAGTGATTTGCCACTGCTTTTGCCCCCCCAAAAAATGTCTCAAGTTTGAGTCTTGAGTCTTTTTGTGGTGGTTTTCTTTAGGTGAAGATTTACAGAGCAAATTAGTTTCTCATGAAACAATTGATACACATACTGTTTTGTGACATTGGTTGCCCACCCTGTGATGTGTCAACACTATCTTTCTCGACCTTGGGTTTCCATTCATGCATTGCCATTTCTATTCATCCAGCTTTCCTGTCCCCTCCTGCCTTCTAGTCCTGGTGTGTCCATTTAGTCTCATTTCGTTTTATGGGCCTGTCTCATCTTTGGCTGAAGGATGAACCTCAGGAGTGACTTCATTATTGAGCTAAAAGGGTGTCTGGGAGCCATAGTCTCGGAGTTTCTCCAGTCTCTGTCAGGCCAGTGAGTATGGTCTTTTTTTGTGAGTTAGAATTTTGTTCTACATTTTTCTCCAGCCATGTCTGGGACCCTCTTTCGTGATCCCTGCCAGAGCAGTTAGTGGTGGTAGCTGGGCACCAGTTAGTTATGCTGGACTCAGTCTGATTGAGTCCTGAGTCTTATTACAGATTTAATATTTTCTATAAATTATATGCGGGAGTTCCGCTTGTGTTTGCAAGAAAATAGACTGTAGTTGTGTACACATTCAAGGCCTATGTGAACCTATGAGTACACATCCAAGACCTTTTAGAATTGAAGTCCACAAAGGATCTAGCAGTACTCATGTTGTCTGTCTTTCTATAATGGCTATGCACCCTCTTTGGTGGGTTCTGTTTGTTATAGAACATAAAAACTCATGACCATATATAGAAAATATACATTTTTAAAATAAATAAAAGTGTTATTAATGGTTATATTTTTTGGTTAAAAAATTAAGGCATGAAGAGCGTTTGAGTTGTCAAAGTATATTTTTAAGTGCCTGTTACTAAAAAACATATGAAGATGCACAGAATTCTTTATTTACCATAAGCCAATGCTCAAAAGAGTTCCTGACAATGGCAATTTCTAATACATAAGACTAGTGTAATTTTGAGGGTATTTAATATTTTCAGAGTTAAAAATTATTGCTACCCCCTATTTAGAGGTAAGCGGTGAAAACCCTAAGAACAAACCACATGCTCAAAAATACTCCACAAGTCAACCTCAAATGTTAGTCCACAGTAATCAGAACAGTGTGGAGCTGGCAGAGGCATAGACACACGGATCAACTGAACAGAATACAGAGCCCAGAAATAGACCCACACAAGTACACCCACCTGGTATTTTATAAAGGTTCAAAAGCAATTCAGCGGAGGAAGGATAGTTTTTTCAATAAATGGTGCAGAAGCAAGAAGACATCTACAGGCAAAAAATAATAATCCTCACACCTTACACAAAGATTAACTCAAAACAGATCATAGATCTAAATATAAAATGTAAAACTATACAACTTTTAGGGAGAAAATCTTCATGACCTACTGCTAAGCAAAGAGTTCTTAGACTTGATACCAAAAGCACAGTCCATGAAAAGAAAATCTGATAAATTAAACTTCATCAAAATTTAAAACCTTTGCTCTCAGAAGACCCTGGTAGGAGGGTGCAAAGTCAGGCTACCAACTGGGAAAAATATTTGCAAACCACATATCTGTCAAAGGACTAGTATCTATAATATATAAAGAACCCTCAAAACGCAACTGTAAAAAAAAAAATAGACAATGCAATAAGGAAATGGAGACTATGAACCCACACTTCATGGAAGGGGATGTACAAATGGCAAACAAGCACATGAGAAGATGCTCAACACTATTATCCTTTAGAGAAATGCAAATTAAATTCACAATATCACTACACAGCTAACAAAATTGCTAAAATTAAAAAAAAAAACGAAAACAAGAATGACATCCCAAATGTTGGCAAGAATGCAGAGAAACTGGATCACTCATGTATTATTGGTAGAAATGTAAAATGGAACAGCCACTTTGGAAAAACATTTTGGAAGTTTCTTATAAAAGTAACTAATCTTGCAACTGCCATACAAGCCAGCAATTATACTCATGGACATTTATCCCAGAAAAATGAAAACTTGAGTTCACATAGCAGCTTTATTCATAACAGACAAAAATTGGAAACAACCCAGATGTCCTTTAATGGATAAATGGTGAACCAAATTGTGGTACATCCATACTGTGGAATACTACTCAGCAATAGAAAGGAAGGACACAGCAACAATTTGGATGAATCTTAAGGGAATTATGCTGAGTGAGAAAAGTCAATCCCAAAAGGTCACACACTGTATGATTCCATTTATAGAACATGTTTTGAAATGACAGAATTATAGGAATGGAGAACAGATTAGTGGTTGCCAGGGAGGTTGGGGCAGAGGGAGTGAAGGAAGTGAGGTGATTATAAAAGGGCAACACAAGGGGTCCCTCTGGTGCTGGAACTATTTTGTACCTTGATGTATCTATTTTGTATCTTGATGTATCAATGTCAGTATCCTGGTTGTGATATTGTACTATAGTTTGCAGGATGTTACAACTGGGTAAAAGAGTACACAGGATCTCTATATTATTTCTTAAACTGCATGTGAATCTTCAATTACCCCAGAATAAAAAGTTGAATTTAAGTTAAGGCTTAGTTTAAATGAGGAATATGTGCTCTCTCTCTTATTGGTCCCTAACAAAATGAGCACCTGAGCTGTGTGCTGAAACCTAGGAGAAAAGGGGATAAGATAATATTAGTTATCTTGTGTTAATCGTTAATACGTGTATTTGTGAAAGAGATATAAGACTTCATTAAAAGTTTTCTAAAGGTATTCAATTTGATGTTGAATATAAATGAAAAAGAATTCAACAAATCTTTATAGATTCCATATAGGACACTTAGAAGGGGAGGATGTCTTTAAGATTTTGACATAAACATACTGAGTAAGCGATGGGTGTATATAGGGATCTGAGACTGTCCAAAATTATCCCCCGTGGATGTTTATAGTGAAGAACTATATTCTCAGTCTCTTTCTCTAAATATTCTGGGAAATAATTCATTTTGTTTCTTTGTTTGCTTCTATGAATAGGCTAACTAAAACATATCCTGGCCCAATGTTTTTATTTACAGTGAGTGTACGTATCCATGAACGTGACATATATCAAGTACTTTTGATGTTTCTTGTTTCAATATGCCTTGTAGACATTGACTCTTTATAAAAGAGTTGTCGTTTTGGTCGAAGTGCATTTCTACAATTTTTCCAGAATGTGTGTTTCATTTTTAATAATTTAACTATCAAATACTGTTCTGAAAATAAAACCTTCTAGAATAATGCATTGATGCTCACTTGATTGCTATAGCAGCAAAGCAGTTATTATAAAATTTGAATCGTAAGGAAGTTATGTTTTGTCTGTGCTCTATAATGCATGTGAAATGTCAAATCTGTTTTCAAAATTAGATATGTATGTTTAACCAAAGACTATTTCATTACCGATATGATTTCCATGCTCAATTAAATGAGATGACGATCCTTATATATAGTCCTTTCAAGTAATATTACAAATTGTCATTAGTAGATTTCGAAGAAAATAGATGCTATTCCAATGAATCAGCAGTTACATTTCAAATAAGAAGAAAAAAGTTAGCTTGGTAACTTTTGTTGATATGATTTGTTTAAGGTGTGTTGTGGTTGTTAGCTGACCTGGCGTGGGCCCCGACTCTTCGTGGCCCCATACACAATAGAACAAACGCCGCCCAGCCCTGCGCCATCCATGATCAGTTGTGGATCAGACCCTCATGATTTCATTAGCCAATTTTCAGAAGTAGATCTCCAAGCTTTTCCTCCTAGTTCATCTTAGTCTGGAAGTTCTGCTGAAACTTGTTCAGCATCCTAGCAACAGGTGAGCCATCATTGACAGAAAGGTGGTGGCTGCGCATGAAGTATATTGTCTGGGAACAGAACCCTGGTCTCCCACGTGGAAGGGGAAAATTCTACACTAAACCACCCATGCCTCTTTTTAAGGTATTAAAAAAAAAAAAAACAAACAGCGCAGGACCGGGCAGTGTTTCGTTCTGTGGTACCTAGAGTCGCTGTGAGTCGGAACTGACTTGACGGCACCTCACAACAACAGTGAGTCTGTGGAGACCATGGGTAGTGCCAATGTTAACACCCTCCACTGCTAACCAAAGGTTGGAGGTTTGAGTCCACCCAGAGGTTCCTCAGAAGAAAGGCCTGGTATCTACTTCAGAAAAATCAGCCATTTGAAACCCTATGGAGCACAGTTCTACTCTGATACACGGGGGCACCATGAGTCAGAGCCGACTTGACAGCACCTGGTATCGGTGATCCGTCTGTAAGTTCAGTGCTCCATCATGTCAGCCAGTCTCCTCAACAGCCCCACTGTTTGCCATCAGAACCACATGGCAAAACCCCCACCCATTGCCCGCAAGTCAATTCCAACTCGTAGAGACTCTGTAGGACAGAATAGAACTGCCCTATAGGGTTTCCAAGGCTGTAGTCTTTACGGAAGCAGACTGCCACATCTTTCTCCCACGGAGTGGCTGGTAGGTTCAAACCATCAACCTTCCAATTAGCAGCTGAGCACTTAACCACTACACCACAAGGCCTCCTGGAAAACCCCAGCCCTGAATAAAGTCAGTGTTCATCTCTGCGGGTGACTATTAACGGAGAAAAACCCACAACCTCATGGACTGGTCCCACTATAAATGGATGGTCAATATCCTTGAATGGACCCCAGCAATTCTTGCGCATTCTCCTGTCAGCTCTCTCATTCTCTCCCACAGCCATTTCACACATTCTCCGCTCTGTTCAGTCTTGGCACTCCACACCCACGGCCCCCTCACCCTCAGTGAAAACCCTGCTTCCCCAGAGACCCCGGAAGCCTTGGGATGAGCACTCCCTCCCCATCTCACAGAAGGTTCCGCTGCAGCTGTCCCTTCCCTCCTCCCCTCCAGACACTCTCTCCTGTTGGGTGGTTTCATCAGGCAGAGCCCCTCTGCCCGGAGGCAGACATGATGAACAAGTCCAGGCTCACCTGAGGTAGAAGCCAGTGTGATGAAAGGAGGGTGAGACCAGAGGATTAAGGGTGTTTTTAGGAGCGCCGATAGGCTGCATCATGGGAACTGAGCTGGGGAAGGAAAGAAGGAAGTGAAGGCAGGAGGAGGCTGGTGCAGGGAGAAGCAGAGGGGTCAGTGAGCCTGAGGGTGCTGTGAGGTGAAAGAATAGCTGCTGTGGAGGGACTTGGCCAACAGGCTGGGAGGCCGAGTCACTAAACAGAGGGAGCTGTGTAAACGAGCGATATCCATAGCGAAGAAGTTAGAGTG